GTGCATTCGCACTTATAGTAAAATTTATATATAAAAAAAAAATTTTTTATCCAGGTGACTGGCGAATTGCCTATTAAAGGTATAAAACTTATTTTAACTAATTATAAATTTATATTTTAAATTTGAACTAGAATTCGGGATTTAGAATAATATTTGGAATTTGGGATAAAGTTTATGTCAAAATCCCGAAAGTCCAAATCCTAAAATTTAATTGTCACATCATGTGATGTCAGAGTTTTAGTATTCAAACTCTTACTATATAATTATAAATGTGTTGAATACTAAAACCCGGCATTATGTAATATGACAATTAAATTTCAGGATTTTGACATAAATCCTTTAGGATAATATTTAAGATTTTGGGATCTGGAATAGATTTGGGATTTGGGATGATATTTGGGATTTGGGATGGATTTTGGGATTTGGGATTTGGGATGATATTTGGAATTTGGGGCAATATTTGAAATTTGGGACAATATTTGAGATTTGGAATTTGGGATTGGGATTTGTCCAGTTTGGGCTTATGGGATTTCATTTGTCTGGGTTTGTCCATGGAAAAATCCCAAATCCCAAACATTTGTGCAGCATGTATAATAACAACTATTAAATATTTTTAAAAAATTCAGCTTATTTTCAAGTAAGAAAGGTTTTTTAATTTTTTGCTCAAAAGAGAAGAGGTAGCTTATTTTCAAAAACATATGGTATTAGTTTAGGATTCAATCTTATAAAGCATAATCAGAGCATGCACTGCACAGTACAAGCAATAGCACAAGCACAAGCAATAGCAGGAAAAAAGACTATATAAAACTGTCTCAATTTGGTGAAACCCTTATTTCCTTTTATATTGAATTTTTCGCCAAAAAAAATAGCATAAAACAAATACGAAAATAAGACAACTTGATTTGAGCGTTAAAAAGAGCGTTAATTAAAAAGTAGATCAAAAACGCAACTAATGCATGTGTGCAGATGAACACCAAATTATAAAGTTACGTTATTGATTAGATAACTATAGATACATCAAAAACGTAACTATATATCACCTTGACTAATCATTAAATGTCCTTCGCTACGCACCGGACAATTAAAAAAACTTATCATTTCTCAATGATAAATATATACAAAAACTTCAAATAATGATCAAAAGCTTATGCGCGAATTATTATTATATAAAAATCGATCAACCAAATTTGAAAAAAATCAACAGGCTAAATCGGAAATTAGCTTTAGCTGACTTTTTCATTATTGACTAGGAACATTAATCAACAGCGTTCAAATATACGATATAAATCAGGTAAGTTTGCTATTTGAAGTATATGCCCACTTTCAGCAATACTTTTTGGAGCAATGAATTGACCCTTCAAAGTTGGAAAAATTAAATGCTCAATTTGCCATCGGTACTTCGCGATTTCGGCCTTTTGTCTTTGTTTTGTTAAGACGCTATCTTTTTCTTGTTTTTTTGCATTACTGTTGATATCAGCAAGTTCATTATTTGTATCAATATCCATTAAATCATCGTCTGCATCTTGAAAAGAAAAATCTGGTGGCTCTGGTGCATAAAATAATCCGAATTCACGAGACAAAGTTTCAAAACATCCAATTTCAGTATCCCATTCAACCTTGCAAAAAAAAGAGTTCGAAAAATCGATAAATATTTAGTTTCAACGCAAAGCTTGAACATTCTAATTACCTCTGTGCCCAGACGCAACAAAAATGTTGGAAGTTTATTCAAGTTCGGCGCATATCCCTTAAGCATCAATGGAAGAGTGACCAATTCACCTTGTTCATTTACAGTCATGGAAAAGTATTCTAACAACATTTGTCTTCTAGAGACCAATTTATTAACGATAATCTAAAATAAATTTGGTTAAATAAATTATGAACACATTCATTTTCATAAATCCATACAAATGAAAGATACCAGAGCAATTTCATGATTTGGCCTTAAATTTTCTGTCTCTTGAATACTTGATTCCAAAGCATAAGTGATCATATCATATATTGGGGCTGGAGAGGATAATTGAATAAACCCGAAATTACTAAATTCCTGAAGAGTTAATTGATAGAACAATTCTTCACTAGCAAATTCATGAATTCAATGATTAATAGATGAATACATATAAAATTACACTGAATGATGGTGTCATGTTACCTAAGAACATTATAATTGATCATATAAAGTTTTGTTTGATGCTGTATAAGAGCTAAAGTTAACGAATCATCAACACAACCAACCATTGTGTGATTAGAAAGCAATTCCGTGAGACCTGCACAAATTATGCAATAAATAAAGTTGAGATTAATAGCTCATCAATTTCATAAGGATAATTAAATATAATTTTGACATGCCTTTATGTTCGATTTCTCGTAATCGCTTTCGTAAAGTTAAAATACTCGTCAATCTAACCTCATTACGATCACGCTTGCGTTTCAAACTTGACGATACAGCATTGCCGCCTTCGATAGAGTCATGAAAATTGTGGCTAAAAAAACAAAAGCAGTAATATTATAATAGCTTTTTTTTATTATAAGAGATTTTTCAATAATCACCCTTTATTCTCTCGAAATACCTTGTATCGGATTCATTATCCGCATTGCTTTGGGATACTGCATTGAACGGGTTTGATACATCATCCGGAACACAAAAACGGTCTAACGTTTGAGCTCTACTGTCAGTTCTAACGTGTTTATATGTCAACACCTTGGTGCCTAATGGTTTAATATAATAGCTTGTAAAAGTCTTAGCAAGTAATTATACTGTTCAAATTTTACAACATTACCAGACTTTTTAATTGAGCTTTCGGCCTCATATGTATTAGTTTCTATTGGCTTTGCACCAGGTAACAAAGTCTAAAGAAATAAAAAGATGATTTTAAGTTGTTATTAACGAATATTTGCTACTTGCAATAAATTATACCAAGAATATACCTGAGTTAAAAAAACTCTAGAACTATTGGCACCAACAAGACGCTCCTGTATTGCATCTCCAACAGCCGTAATAATCTCCTCTTCGTTTAAAAATCGAACCTATTATGGTAACTGGAGTTTAATGGCATAATATCATTTAGTACAATAGGATGTCAAAAACAAACCTCGCGTTTTGTGGGATGGACATTCACATCAACATTTTCTGGATTAATCTCTAAGCTCAAATATACGAACGGATGCGTATTTTTCGGCAAATAAGTTGCATAAACACTTTCAATAGTTTTTTTGAGCAATGAACTTTCTACTGCTCTATCTTAAATAATAGCATATTTATATATTTAAATAGTTAATAATTAAAAAACGTCACAAAGTAAACTATAGAAACTCACGATTAATGAACAAAAGAAAAACCATTTTTTTTAAGTTATAATTGGGGTTGGAAATGTATCCATTCACTCTGAATTCAAGCTTTCTGAAAATTTTCCCAAACTCTAATAATTCGGAAGTCGTGCTCCCATATATTTGCCGAATGTTGTCTAATGTGGATGCTGTCGACAAAGTATTCACGTCTGCCTGAGTTGATCCTTGCTAACCAGAAATGCAATGACTCTGTCAGTGTTTAACAAATAATCAATGCATTTTAAGTTATTTTACCTTTTTACATGAAAATCCAACACCTGCGTTATGAATAGCGTAACGATTAACCACATCAAGAATCCTAGCATATTCTTCGGTTGGGTTTTTCAAAGCTTTCCGACGAGTTGGTACATTATAAAAAAGGTCTTCCGCCTAACAGATATTGTACATTGATCATAATGGCGATCAAAATAAAATCAGGCAACACAAAAAGGTAAATAGTGAAGTAAAACTTACCGTAATTTGTGTACCAATATTACCTGCACATGCTTTTGGTTCGGCAGCGGCACCAGGTTTTGGTGGAACAAGTTTACCATCAGAATAACAAGCTCTAATTAATAAATTATGATGAAATCAACTGATCAACTTTGAGAGCAAAAAAAAACGCGTCAGAAATATATTAAACAAAATATGTTCTTATGATAACCTATAAGCACAGTTAGAATCAGCAGTTTTCGTGGTGATTGTAAGGTGAGCCACATGACTTATACTAGCCAAAGCCTCACCACGAAATCCATAAGTGCCTATATGCATTAAATCTTCGAAATTCCTGAGTTTACTCGTTGTGAAGCGCTCACATACGATAACCATATCTTCTCTCTTTGCAGATATATAAGAGTTAGTCATCAAGAAAAACTTAAAATTACGGAAAAAGCTAAAAAGCTGTATTACTAACCCTAATTCCATGTCCGTTGTCAAGAATTTGAAGAAGTTTGAGCCCTCCCTCTTTGATTAATACTTGAATATTAGTTGCTCCAGCGTCCAAAGAATTCTCGATTAGTTCTTTTAGCGCGTTAGAGGGCCGTTGAATAATCTACAAATTGCCACTTAAGTATTATGCTTTGCAAAAATGCAAATATCGATAGGCACCATATTATTGACAAGAGAACAACCTCACCGGCGGCAATTCTGTTTACAACAGATTCATCAAGCTTTTTAATGGGCCGTGGGGCGGTTAACTTCTTGGACTCCATTACTCACGTTCTCACTTGTGTTTCGTGTTAACACGAAACTAACACGCTTTTCAGTTAGCATGAGCATGGGGGTCATAGGAGGACTTTCGTCTGATTGGCTGATGTAAATCAATTGCCCGGGTAACTTATTTATACACTTTAAAGTACTT